AGACTCACTTGTTTAGGTAAGGCCAGTAATTTTTAGATCACATTGAGTGCAAAGGTTGTTCCAAATGGAATAACCAATACGAGTGCTCAATGCCCTGGAGAAGTACTTGTGGCTATGGAAAAGATGAGTTGTGCTCCACAACAGGAATATCCCTTAGTATTTAGCTTCATGCAGTGGCGAACAGCTGGGACAATGCCTGGGAGAGATCAAACTACTAGATAACACCAGAGAAGGAAAAAAGTACATCTACGCTTGCAACATATCCAGTCCAGTTCAAGTTTCACTCATGTCATTTCCCATACTTTAATTAAAAATATTCTAGAAATATAAATACAAATTCACCTCAGCAACAATCAGAGCTCTTATTCATTAAGTATTTGCCATAAACAAGGCACAAATGCCTTGTCTATTAGCTTCCTTATGGTTAGGTAGCAAACTGCAACAACTTTTGGAGTTTAAATGACTAATTTATTATTTTGCTAATCTGGAGGTATTAACTCTAAACTATGTACATGGAACTATATTTCTTCTAGGGATTTTAGAAGATAACCCATTTTCTTGTACTTTCCATCTTCTAGAAGCTGTCTCCATTGCTTGGTTAAGTAGCTCCTTCCTTCATTTTCAAAGTCAGTAGTGTATCATCTTTTCTCTTCCCTGCTCTCTTTCCAACCTGAAATGTCTTATTGATTGTAATCTTACTTTCTCCCTTTTCTAAGAACTCTAAGAGCTCAACCTATAATCCTAGCTACTCAGGAGGCTGAGATCTGAGGATCACAGTTCAAAGCCAGCCCGGGCAGAAAAGTCGGTGAGACTCTTATCTCCAATAAACCACTAGAAAACTGGAAATGGAGCTGTGGCTCAAGTGGTAGAGCACTTGCCTTGAGCTGAAGAGCGCAGGGGCAGCACCCAAGCCCACAGTTCAAATCCCATGACCGACAAAAATAAAAATAAAATAAATAAAAAGCCAGAACTAGAGCTGTGGCTGAATTGGTAGAGTGCTATCCTTGAGCAAAAGAAGTTAAAGGACAGCCCCCACTCAGAATTCAAGTCCCAGTACCTACACACACACATACATACAGATAATCTCTGCATCTTAATATCCTAATTTTGTTACATTTGAAAGGTTTTTGGTCATATAAAGTCACTTGTTCACAGGCTCTGAGGATAGGAACAGGGACATCTTTGATAGCTGGAGGTCTGTCACAACCTATACAACTTACATTTCATTCTTCAGACCGTCATTATGATACATACATTTACAAATGAAGAAATTTAGGCTTAGAAAGGTTAACAAATATTCTGGACTTGGCACAGCTTGAAAGAGAGAGAACCAACCAAGGATAGAAAATTTGGCTAGGTAAGTAAAAATCCTAGGAGTGCTCTTGCTCATATCTGTATTTTTCCTTGTTGCCTTCCCGTCTGCTCTTATGAGAGCACAAAGATCCCCATGTTAAGCCTCCTTGTATCACTGAATATCTACTGAAGTGGATCGGCTGAGGTATAATGGCAGAAGCTAGGGTTTGGGAATCCAAAGGTGTGAGCTCAAATACTGACACTCAGAAGTGGGGCTATTATCTTGGGAAAAATTAGTTAACCTCTCTTTCATTGGTAAGTAATGATTTTAAAGATTCCAAATTGGAGGTAGGTTAGACAAATAACATGGTAGCCTACAACATTTAATGTTTGGTTTCCCTCCGCTTATTGAACTCTGAAAGTCCCCACAAATCATTTGTCTTCTACTATCACATATATCTTACCCCAAACATAAATGACCAAGCTGGGCATTGGTGGCTAATACCTGAAATTCTAGCTACTCAGGAGGCTGTGATCTGAGGATTGCCAGCTCAGATCCAAAAGACTCTTATCTCCTTTTAACCTGCCAAAAGCTGGAAGTAGAGATGTGGCTCAAGTGGTAGAGTGGCAGGCTTGAATGAAAAAGGAAAAGGAAAGGGCCCTGAAGTCAAGCTCCAGTACCAGCACAGACACAAGATCTCTAACTTCCCAAAGCATGATTTTATGATCTCCTCCTGTTGTTTCCTTGTTGCCAGACATGGTTATGTTATTACTATAAGCATACTGTTTATTGAGCAATAATTTCTGTGTCCTTGTCTTATAAATGTGATTTAAACTTTTAAGAACACTGACAATACCCTAGAGCCTAATTTCTGATCCTGATTATTCCACTGGAGAAAGTGGATAGAAGTTCAGGCCTTAAGTTGCACATTTCAGTAGGCTTTGGCTATAAAGAAAATTTCTGTAAGAAAGAGAACTTAGAAAGATAAAGAGTTTACATATCACATTTTCATGAGATCCCATCAGAATAGGGACAAAAATCTCAAAGAATATGCCTGACTTTGCAATGTTCTAGGCATACAGAATGCCAAATATGAAAATAAAGAGATGGATGGCTAGATGATGAAATCATGGAAAACTGCTTCAATTCAGAATTTCTTGTGTAAGCTGTTGGTCTCCCAAGACATAGAACAAGTTGGACAGACAAAGCTAGAAAGAGATCAGACATTCCTGATTATACAGAACAAATCAAACCATAAGGGCATTAGGTGAATGCATCAGGGTCAAAGAGCACTTAAGTGGCACAGACTGAACTAGATGTTATGTTTCCAGGTCTGATTTTTCTGCCTGTTTCTCTGCATGAAGTCTATCCCAGAATCATTCACTCAATGCAGCCATATCTTATTCTACAAAATACACCAAAACCTGTGAGATAGCAAAGACCATAGTAGGGTTGCAAAATAGGGATATGTCAAGCAAGAATGTACTCCTTTCATGCAAAGAGGTAAAGAGAATTCACTTGACTTCTAAGAATTTACTTAAGAACACATGTAAAAAATTTCCCACTATGTGTTTTGTTCAACTTCTATTTATGGAAGGCCACTCTCACTGCCTGAAACACTTGGAGGGCCAAGTCTATGCTTATTGTGTGACAAAGTCTCTTCATTTACTATCTAATTCATACAACCCTATGAAGGCAGTATTTTAATTACCTCTACCTATACTGATGAGAAAATACCCTTGAGGCAGGTCAGCTTTAGAGAAAGAATGCTTAAACCAACCCTTCTTTTAGTCATGCCTGTAGGAGATCCTTGAATTCAATTTCCTCCCTAGTACCTCCCATGGCCACTCACCTTTGGGGGTAATTAGTGGTCAATTTGTGATTAGGATTTCTCTCTAAGGGGGGTGGGGGTAACCTCTGGTTCAGTTCTAAACAGGACAGCACTGGTATAGTGGAAACCTATGGTTCCTTAGCCTTACATTTGTGTAGCAAACTCTTATTTAAGACTTCATACATATGGGTTGCATCTCATATATACACTTAGAACTATAGGGTAGCAATCTTGTACATGCACAGATCCCTTCTAAAAATATCTGTGAAGTTATGATCCTCATTTTCCCTAAGATCAGCCCACTCTCATTACTATGAACTGCTCCCACATTCTTTGAAATCTAGAAAGCTGAAATTTTCTTATCCACGTTTGTTCTTGGGCCATTTTCCTTATGGAGTTTCTTTCCCGCTCCCCCTCTCCTCCCCTCTCCCTCCCACTTTATTTATTTATTTTTGTGCTGGAGCCTGAATTTGGGGCCTAGGTACTGTTCTGGAGATTTTTTGCTCAAGATTAGTACTCTACCACTTGAGCCACAGCTCTGCTTCCCACTTTTTTGGGTAGCGAATTGGAGTCTTTCAGACTTTCTTGCTCATGCTGGCTTTGAACTGCAATCCTCAGATCTCAGCTTCCTGAATAGGTAGGATTACAGGCTACTGGTGCTATTGGTGCCCTGCTCTTTTTAATTAATTGCTTTGTCACTTTACTTCTCTCTCTTTCCCTCTCTCAATTTTTGTCTCTGTCTATCTGTCTCTGTCATCTCTGTCTGTCTGTCTCTCTCTCTCGTTCTCTGTTCATTCATTTCTTGTTGGAGATACCAAAAATCTGGGATCTTCATTCCCTTGACTACCCACTGGTAAAAGCCTCAGAGAGGTGAATCTATTTGAGCAAGCTAGTATCTGGAATCTGGAATGATATTAAGGAGAAGAAGAAAAAACCAGCATGATAGCTGTAGGGCCTCCCTCAAGGGAGTAAAAATCTCCCTTTGAGAGATAGAGATAAGCTTGGGGAGGGAGGTGGCTGTAAGCTAGCAGATGGAATCTGGATAGTTGGAAAGGGAGGGAAAGGCTGTTCAGGCTGTGTAACTGCACAAACAAAAGCAAGATGTGGGTAAGTTCAGCGTGTTCTTTGAATAAAGCAGGTCGAGTAAGGAGGTATGTAGGTAGAGTGGAGTCTAGAAACCCTGGAGCCCAGCTGCACTCCATCTCTGCTTCTCTATTCCCAGTTTCCATTAGGTCCTTACAAGATCACTCTTAAAAATGCCTTTCTGCCTCTTCATCCCCATGGCAACAGGCTTCAGACTCACTCCCCTCCCCCTTGCTTCGTAGGTGGTCTGCCTGCAGGCTGCCTGGGAGATTGCAGAAATTGAAGTCTGATACTGTCACTGCCCTGTTCAATAACCTAGTCAATATATATCTGTGCCCTGCTCGCTTGGCATTCCCATCCCAACTCTCCCACCTAGGCCATGACCTTATCATGTAATGGGCTCACAAATGAGATACACATAAGCGCCTAAGCCAGGACAGGAAAGGAGAATTGTGGTCAGCTGATGCCCCCCCTCCCACTATTGGCCTTCTGTGTGAATGGATTTGAGACCCACTACTTTGGAAGACCTGGGAACCAATCTCTGAATGTCTGTGTCGGACTGAAGAATACAAGAACACTATAAATACAAAACCATTATGCATAAGAATGCACAAGCTCTGTGTGCATTGTTCTTGAATACCCCATTCTCCACCAATCCCTAGTGTCAAGTCCACCTTTGTCCCACCCCATCAGTAAGCGTACTCCTTTTCCTATCTGCTAGCGGAAGTCCCTGTGGAGAGTCTGCCCACTTCCCCTTTGGGGTTCCGGCGTGTGCGTGGCAGGAGAGGCGGGGCCAATTTTCTCGCGCGCGCTAGCAGCTGTGGCGAGTGCCGGCGGCTACTGCAGGCACAAGGCAGCTTGCCGGAGCTGGAGCTTTGTGGCTCCGTGCTGTGCTGCTACAAAGACTATTGACATTAGTGTTTTCAGCGGCAGAGCCTTCTTAAGGCAGATCGCGCCGCTTTCCACCAAAGCTACAGGCATTCATCGCCTAGACTGCCATTAGGCTTTGAGCGCCTAGCCAGAAACATGCCACGGGGAAGAAAGAGTCGGCGCCGCCGTAACGCCAGGGCTGCGGAAGAGAACCGCAACAATCGCAAGATCCAGGCCTCAGAGGCCTCCGAGACCCCGATGGCTGCCTCTGTGGTCTCCAGCACCCCAGAAGACGAGCTGAGCGGCCCAGAGGAAGACCCAAGCACTCCGGAAGAGGCCTCTACCACTCCTGAGGAAGCCTCCAGCACTGCCTTAGCACAAAAGCCCCCTGTAGCCCGGAGCAATTTTCAGGGCACTAAGAAAAGTCTTTTGATGTCCATATTAGCCCTCATCTTCATCATGGGCAATAGCGCTAAGGAGGCCCTGGTCTGGAAAGTGCTGGGGAAGTTAGGGATGCAGCCTGGGCGACAGCACAGCATCTTCGGAGATCCCAAGAAGGTCGTCACAGAAGAGTTTGTGCGCCGAGGATACCTGATTTATAAGCCAGTGCCCCGCAGCAGTCCGGTGGAGTATGAGTTCTTCTGGGGCCCTCGAGCACATGTGGAATCCAGCAAGCTGAAAGTCATGCATTTTGTAGCAAGGGTTCGTAATCGATGCTCCAAGGACTGGCCTTGTAACTATGACTGGGACTCAGATGATGATGCGGAGGTGGAGGCTATCCTGAATTCAGGTGCTAGGGGTTACTCTGCACGCTAGGGAAATTTGAGGCAGACCCTTAAGAGTGGAAAAGAGAGTTCAAGGTATCCCAAGGAGTAGATGGCCTGGGTCTTGTGTTGACAGTAATGTGGATCGGGGGAGGGTACTGTAATTGCTACTTGTGATCAGTGCTAATTGTTTAACTGAGAAATAGAATGTTTGCTTTAGATATTGTAAACTCATAATCATTTTACAATGCTTTGATTAAGGATGACAATATGTTTCCATTTAAAATCGGTGTTTTTTTTCTGTCATTGAGATCTGTTATAATAGCTTTGTTATCACTCTGAAATGATTTCTTTTCATTATATTTTGTGATGTGGTACACGATTATATCATTGAAATAAGCTGTTCTTTGGAGGTTTGATAAAACCAGTAAAATGTGGAAGGAAGATGAGAGAATTGTTCATATCTGACCTTTCTGAAATCCTTTCTATCTGCTGTCTTGTAAAGAACACACTACTATGAATATGGTTACTTACACAAAAATATAGACAAAATAAAAGCATAGTAACTAATCCATGTTGTCATTTATTGCCCACCTGTTATGTGAGACGAAAGTGTATCTGTTCTGAGAAGAGATCGAACCACACAGCAAAGGTTCAAAGGAAGGTTCTGGATTGTGTAGGAGACAAAACTATAGAAACTGGCAGAACAATAATTGCTATGCTACAGAAAAAAGCATGGGGTACAGTAAAATACAGAAAAGCAAACACCACCCACAGGGAGAGGCAGAAGAAAAAGTGGGCATCACACTAGGATACTTGAAAGTTCAAGAGATGCTCACAGATGCTAAGGGAAGACTGAAAGGGGCATCAGTGCATACTGGGCTGTATCTGGAGTTGGATATCTATTACATATGAACCCAGATAGGCAGAAGGAGGTGTTGCCAAAGAGCAGGGAATATCATTTGGGCCTGTGGACATAGAAAGAACCCTTAAATAATCTTGAGAGGAGGGAGCAGACTGAGGAGTGTTTGCATGAAAAAAAGACTACTATGGGGCATTAGAAAAATGAGATGGTAGTGTTGATAAACAACACTCTGAGTTCTGAAATGCCTTGGGAGGTGGGGGAGGGAGGAAGTTGAGGCACTGGAGGCAGCAGGACACTGGGAAAATCACACTGAACTAAAGGGGTTCTGCCAAGGGAAAGAAAGAACAAGAAATGAGGCAGGGAAAGGGGAACAGATCCACTGCCCCCAAAGGAGGGGTTGTCACTGACTTTATTCATAATAACATAGCAATGAGAATGAACTTGTAATAAGGGAAGAAAAGCTCTTAACAAGCAGAGAGACTGGAAGAGACACATGGAAGAATGAAATTGTGACACATCTGAAAGGTAAACTCAGAATTCTCTCAAGACTTACAGATTGTTTTAGTACAAACATTGTGAGAAGTGTGTGTGTGTGTGTGTGTGTGTGTGTGTGTGTGTGTGTAATAGACAGAGGGGGGGAGGGGAGGACCAGAGGGCACTAGTATTTTCCCTTAACCCAGTTGAAGAAGTCAGAAGTTCACCCTCCCCTAGTATGGTGGCCTAAGGTGCACTGAGTCACATAATAGGGTCAAGTTTGAGCTGTCCCACTGTGTCACCTTTGAGAGCAAAGAACTCAATGTACTTCTCATCTATTCTACCATAGGTTCTCTGAATCCTTCAAATCCTCAGGCCCTGCCAACAAATCAGGAGATGTGGGAACCACCTCTCCCACTCTGCTTAGCTAAACACTCACTAAAAGCTTTGGCCAGCTCCAGACTCTACCATATTTGCCCTGCCCCCAGATCTCAATGAGGGAATTGAGAATATCCTCTACTAAGAGAGCCAAGAGCCTAATCTAGATAGTCTTGTGGGGTTGTCAGGAACAACTGTTACACAGAACAGTGCGACCACGAATCTGCCTACTTTTTAACCTCCAGGTTACTCAGAGAGCCAGCTGGATGCAAGCCAAAGCTCTGGTACAGGGTAGACAAGATGAAGAATTTTCTGTCAATGCCCAGAGATCCACACTCATGAGCCTGCAGGCCAGGGAGGCTTCAGACAAAAGTGTTAGCTATGAAGTCACAGGAATTCCAACTTCATTCAGTAAGCCAGAAAACAGTGAGAGCCTTCTGGGATTCAGGCAGCATGAGAGAAAGCAGACACAGAAAATCAACAGGCATTCTGAGGCCCTGGGAGGGCCATGTTTGTCAGACCAGCTCCAGAGGTAGACAAGCTGGGAATTCAAGGTAGAGATTACCAGATGACTTTCCTGCTAGAGACACAAATGGCAAGAGACCAACCCTAAACAATAGCACATATCCACTGCTTGTAGTCCAGCAGCTGTCCTCCAGGCAAGCCCACTGTCTCTCTCTGCCTGCCAATTCACTCACAAGATTGCTGCCCTCAAAGAACCCTGAAGTTCCAAGCTTCAGCCTCCCGTACTGTGGGGAAGGAGGCCCACTTGAACTTCTCCCTCATTTACAGAAGGAGGTTCTTAGAAGCTGCTCAGCTCCAGGTAAGTTAGACAGGAAGTGGCAGGGCCTGCAGATGAGAGCTGTCTCCAGGAGCTGCTTTTTGCTAGAGGCTGGTGCCATACATCCCTGCCAGGCCTGATTGCCTCTGGCTCATTTTATAGGAAGCTCCAACTACCTCAGGGGAGGCCTTATGTCCTTCCAAAGACTATGTGAATCTGTGAATTCTTCAGCTCTGGTGGGAATACACATCCAAGTGTTTATCCAAGGGCTTGTTAGCAAGTGCAGGCCAAGAAGCTTCATGCAGTCAGTGTACCAGCAGTATCAGGAAAAGGGGGAGAAATCTGGGAGCAAGGCTGCCTCCAGCCATACAGCAGGACAGCTGACTGCTGGAACACTGAGATCCTCAGGCAGAATCTCCACAGTGATTAGCAAAGGAGGACTGGAGAACTTCCCTAGCCAAGAGAGAGAGTACTCCAAGGGTTAGGTCCCCTCTCCTGTGGCCTGAGTTGCAGTCAGTCTGCACTGCAAAGAGTTAATTTTGTTTGGATGAGGTAAAAGCTGAAATGGGGCGGGGTTTCCGGTGGCTGTGAAATGAATGGCAGGGCTGAGGGAGAGGCAGGCAAAGGGGCTTCTGCAAGGTGCTCAGCAAAAGGAAGACTCATTGTACTATTTACCCCACATCTTTGAGCTTGGAGCTATGTGCAGAGGAGCCACCATGCTGTGAATCTTTGGCTCTGTAAATCTGAAATGAAGCAGGCCCCACTCCAGCAGAGATTTCATTTCCAAGAAACGAGGGGGAGAGCTGCAATTTTAGTTCCAAGGAATGCTGTCAAGCTGCAAGGAGTTGCTGGGTCCTAGAATATTCCAGTTGTTTAGATAACTGAAAGAGTAGAGAGACCCCAAATCCCCAAAGCAATCAGAAGTAGCATCTTGCTTTACTGATTCCCTGAATTATTCCAGGCACGTTTGATTGCTGTGTTTAGCATTGTCTCTCACCAGTGTACCAGGTGTGCACACTAGGTCCCCTCAGATCACATGTGGCCAAGTGACCAAGTTAAAAGCTAAGTCAGATCTCTCAGGGAAGCTACAAGTGTCATTTAGCTGGTCCTGACACCCACTCTGCAGTGTTACATCAACAGACTTCATTATTTGGATACCTGGGATTCTATCCTAAGGGGGAGAGTCCTGTGTGTTCAAGTTCTCCTCCAGTCCAGGGTGAGAATGACCTATATGATGCTGAGACAGGACAAGGAGGTATGGGAAATACGCTTACTACACACTCTGGTGTTTGCTGTCAGTTTCCCATAATCCTGATTTGCCCTGACAGCATTGGCAAGTTTTCTTCATGGGTATCAGGTGTTGAATGATTTTTTTCTTTAAGGTGCCCACCCCTTCACAACACATTTCTCAGAAGTGTGACCATATGGTACACTCCATCAGGCCTCAGACTCTGGATCCTAGCTTTCCCACAGTGGAACAAGTAAACAGTAAGAATTCTGCACCTGTAACCTTCCTCTGTAACACTGTTGCAAATGCAGGGTACAGAATGGGCTAGATGGCTTTAGTCTTTGAAAAAAAACATCTTGGGCAAGATGCTGGAAGCATGATAAACAGTGGGCAGCTGCCCATGAAAAAAATCACAGATGAATGGCAGCTGCCTTGCAGGCAGTATATAAGCCTTGACCTCAACAGCCACATGCACAATAGACAATAACCATGGTCAAAAAAAAAGAGAGATAGATTCAGTTTGTGTGATCATTGTTCACAGGAAGGGGGTTTGACGTCAGGTTCCAACCAAATCGAGGCATAATTCCTCTTTTCTGAAAGGAACAAGTTTCAAGTAGCCATAAAAGTATCCAAGAACAATTAGTATCAAGATGTACCCAGGCCTGCGCAGAGTTTACTCCAGGACAATTGAGTCACAAAGCAGTTAAACATGAAGAAGCTAATGAAAGGTCCTTGGAAATCAATGTGAAGCCAATTTGACAGAACAGGTTTTGCTCAGCCAAGGCTGCATTGCATTGGAGAATAACTCAGGAGTAGCCTGGCATTCGAGAACCAATTCCTGGGGGTAAGTGGACCCAAGTCTGGCACTGCTGATTGGCCAACAGGAAAAAAGTCTCACACGGGTGAGTTGGAGGAAAGAAAGAACCCACAGTTAATGAAATTAGGCTCAATTCTTGACTGTAGAAATTCTCCCAGGTTACTAGACACATCACATACTTGCCCATGTCACATCAACTCACAAAGTGCAGAAGAAGCAGCAAAATTCCCACCTACAACTCTGACCAAATAGACTCTGAGTCTTTCTCTCCTAGTCTACTCTCAGAAATCACATAACCAATATTCTTTCACAAGCTATAATATCTAACAATTCATTTATTCACTCATTCATTTATTAATCCTGCTGTATGCCAGTCATGCTGGTTGTTAACCTGTGGTATACTGGTGAATAATTCACAAGTTCTTTTGCTTTCATGCTACTATAGCAAGAAAACAGAGATGAAGTAAACTTGAATTTAAAGAGTCATCACTTCAGGTATGGGGTGGAGGTAATGAAGGTGGTGTGAGCTAACACTGAGCCTAGTAGAGAAGATGGCAGAGGTCACAAGAGACGCTAGCACAGAGAAGGAGTATGCGATAGTATTGGTCAAATAGGATCATCCTCAAGGAAGGGTGACGTTGGAGGATGGGATGAAAGAAGTGAAGGTGTTCAGTGTTGTTCATGTAAAGGAAATATTGTCCTAGCATTGAGACCATCCTACAAAAACTCTAAAATCAAGTAAAATCTAGCACATTTGAGGAGCAGAGAGTAAGTATGCTTAGCATGTAGTAGGTCCAAGGGAAAAGAGAAGATAAGGTCAGGGAGATTAACACAATTCTGATTTATGTAGGTCCAATTGGGCCATTTGAAGGAAGCTTCCTATTGCTTGTTATAAAGAATGAGAAGAAGGCAGTGAAAGGTTGAGCAGAGGAATAATTTCTCTTAGGAAGGATCACCCTGATTACTCCATGTGTTTGTTGAGAGGATAATGAATGAAAGCAAGGATGGTGGATAAACTCAGTTAGGC